AACTACAACTCTGCTTCCTGGTCTGCACCCTGGGTGGTCAGGGTTTTGGAGGACTAATAAATGTGGCCAGATTCCTAGAAAGAAGAGCTGCACCATCCAAAGTGGGATGGATGCCGTCTCTCCGAATCAGACCAGGCTTTCCCCAAAAGGATTGCCAATTATTAATGTAGCCCACGTTGTTTTCAGGGCACCACCTAGACAACCAGCGGTTGAATGACGACATGCGGCTAAACATGTCATCACTGGTCAGATCAGGGAGGGGACCAGAGAAAATTACGGAGTCCGACATTTTTTTGGCAAACTTACACACCGAAGCAACACTAATTTTAGTGACCTCCGATCGGCGTAACCGGGTGTCATTACCACCAGCGTGAATAACAATCTTACTGTATTTAACCTTATCCTTAGCCAGTAGTTTCAGGTAGGATTTGATGTCGCCCGTTCTGGCCCCCGGCAAACATTTGACTATGGTCCCTGGTGTCTCTAATGCCACGTTTCTGACTATGGAGCTGCCAATCACCAGAGTGGGCTTCTCAGTGGGTGTGTCACTGAGTGGGGAAAACCGGTTAGAAACGTGAACGGGTTGGTGGTGACCAGTGGGCAGAGATCCACGACTACGCTTTCTGCGTACAGTTACCCAATCGCCTGGCTGCTCAGGCACTTTTGGAGGACAGCTACGTGGGGGGCCTACTTCAACAGCCTGAAGCCTGGATTCTAACTCTGACACCCTCGCCTCCAAAGCTACAAAAATACTACACTTATTACACATCCCATTATCACTAAAGGAGGCAGAGGAATAACTGAACATCTGACACAGAGAGCAGGAGAGAGGAGAGGAAGAAGGAAGAGTTGGAAAAGAGTCAAGGGAGGGAGAGAGAGAAGCCATAGCAATGCTAAGCTAGCGCTAGCCTAGGCTAGCTACTCCTTGCTATCAGAAATAAAACCGTGTGTAACTGACAAGTGCTCAGTAGAAAAGTGCAGCAGAAGGTGCTATGTTTTAAAGTAGTCAGAGTTACTTAGATACAGAGATATCACAGAGAAAATAACTTAACTTCAGATGGAGATCCTCTGAACAGCTGCACACTCAGTTAATCCAAACAGGAAGTGAACAGGTCCAAACAGGAAGCCTCACATAAGCTAATAGTGATAACAGTAGGTTACCATATCAGGTAATGTTGATAACAGTAGGTTACGATATGAGGTAATGGTGATAACAGTAGGTTACCATATAAGCTAATGGTGATAACAGTAGGTTACAATATGAGGTAATGGTGATAACAGTAGGTTACCACATAAGCTAATAGTGCTAACAGTAGGTTACCATATCAGGTAATGGTGATAACAGTAGGTTACCACATAAGCTAATGGTGATAACTGTAGGTTACCATATAAGCTAATGGTGATAACAGTAGGTTACGATATGAGGTAATGGTGATAACTGTAGGTTACCATATAAGGTAATGGTGATAACAGTAGGTTACCACATAAGCTAATGGTGATAACAGTAGGTTACCACATAAGCTAATGGTGATAACAGTAGGCTACCATATAAGCTAATGGTGATAACAGTAGGTTACGATATGAGGTAATGGTGATAACTGTAGGTTACCATATAAGGTAATGGTGATAACAGTAGGTTACCACATAAGCTAATGGTGATAACAGTAGGTTACGATGTGAGGTAATGGTGATAACTGTAGGTTACCACATAAGCTAATGGTGATAACAGTAGGTTACCACATAAGCTAATGGTGATAACAGTAGGTAACGATATGAGGTAATGGTGATAACTGTAGCTTACCATATAAGCTAATGGTGATAACAGTAGGTTACCATATATGCTAATGGTGATAACAGTAGATTACCATATAAGCTAATGGTGATAACAGTAGGTTACCATATGAGGTAATGGTGATAACAGTTGGTTACCATATAAGGTAATGGTGATAAAAGTAGGTAACAATTTGAGGTAATGGTGATAACAGTAGGTTACCATATCAGGTAATGGTGATAACAGTAGGTTACCATATAAGCTAATGGTGATAACAGTAGGTTACGATATGAGGTAATGGTGATAACAGTAGGTTACCATATCAGGTAATGGTGATAACAGTATGTTACCACATAAGCTAATGGTGATAACTGTAGGTTACCATATAAGCTAATGGTGATAACAGTAGGTTACGATATGAGGTAATGGTGATAACTGTAGGTTACCATATAAGGTAATGGTGATAACAGTAGGTTACCATATATGCTAATGGTGATAACAGTAGGTTACCATATAAGCTAATGGTGATAACAGTAGGTTACGATATGAGGTAATGGTGATAACAGTAGGTTACCATATCAGGTAATGGTGATAACAGTAGGTTACCATATCAGGTAATGGTGATAACAGTAGGTTACCATATAAGGTAATGGTGATAACAGTAGGTTACGATGTGAGGTAATGGTGATAACTGTAGGTTACCACATAAGCTAATGGTGATAACAGTAGGTTACCACATAAGCTAATGGTGATAACAGTAGGTAACGATATGAGGTAATGGTGATAACTGTAGGTTACCATATAAGCTAATGGTGATAACAGTAGGTTACCATATATGCTAATGGTGATAACAGTAGATTACCATATAAGCTAATGGTGATAACAGTAGGTTACCATATGAGGTAATGGTGATAACAGTTGGTTACCATATAAGGTAGTGGTGATAAAAGTAGGTAACAATATGAGGTAATGGTGATAACAGTAGGTTACCATATCAGGTAATGGTGATAACAGTAGGTTACCATATAAGCTAATGGTGATAACAGTAGGTTACGATATGAGGTAATGGTGATAACAGTAGGTTACCATATCAGGTAATGGTGATAACAGTAGGTTACCACATAAGCTAATGGTGATAACTGTAGGTTACCATATAAGCTAATGGTGATAACAGTAGGTTACGATATGAGGTAATGGTGATAACTGTAGGTTACCATATAAGGTAATGGTGATAACAGTAGGTTACCATATATGCTAATGGTGATAACAGTAGGTTACCATATAAGCTAATGGTGATAACAGTAGGTTACGATATGAGGTAATGGTGATAACAGTAGGTTACCATATCAGGTAATGGTGATAACAGTAGGTTACCATATCAGGTAATGGTGATAACAGTAGGTTACCATATAAGCTAATGGTGATAACAGTAGGTTACGATGTGAGGTAATGGTGATAACAGTAGGTTACCATATCAGGTAATGGTGATAACAGTAGGTTACCATATCAGGTAATGGTGATAACAGTAGGTTACCACATAAGCTAATGGTGATAACAGTAGGTTACGATGTGAGGTAATGGTGATAACTGTAGGTTACCATATAATGTTATGGTGATAACAGTAGGTTACCACATAAGCTAATGGTGATAACAGTAGGTTACCATATAAGGTAATGGTGATAACAGTAGGTTACCACATAAGCTAATGGTGATAACAGTAGGTTACGATATGAGGTAATGGTGATAACAGTAGGTTACCATATAAGGTAATGGTGATAACAGTAGGTTACCACATAAGCTAATGGTGATAACAGTAGGTTACGATATGAGGTAATGGTGATAACAGTAGGTTACCATATCAGGTAATGGTGATAACAGTAGGTTACCACATAAGCTAATGGTGATAACAGTAGGTTACGATGTGAGGTAATGGTGATAACTGTAGGTTACCATATAATGTTATGGTGATAACAGTAGGTTACCACATAAGCTAATGGTGATAACAGTAGGTTACCATATAAGGTAATGGTGATAACAGTAGGTTACCACATAAGCTAATGGTGATAACAGTAGGTTACCATATAAGCTAATGGTGATAACAGTAGGTTACGATATGAGGTAATGGTGATAACAGTAGGTTACCATATAAGGTAATGGTGATAACAGTAGGTTACCATATATGCTAATGCTGATAACAGTAGGTTACCATATAAGCTAATGGTGATAACAGTAGGTTACGATATGAGGTAATGGTGATAACAGTAGGTTACCATATCAGGTAATGGTGATAACAGTAGGTTACCACATAAGGTAATGGTGATAACAGTAGGTTACCACATAAGGTAATGGTGATAACAGTAGGTTACCACATAAGGTAATGGTGATAACAGTAGTTTACCATATCAGGTAATGGTGATAACAGTAGGTTACCATATCAGGTAATGGTGATAACAGTGGGTTACCACATAAGGTAATGGTGATAACAGTAGTTTACCATATCAGGTAATGGTGATAACAGTAGGTTACCACATAAGCTAATGTTGATAACAGTAGGTTACCACATAAGCTATTGGTGATAACTGTAGGTTACCATATAAGGTAATGGTGAGAACAGTAAGTAACGATATGATGTAATGGTGATAACTGTAGGTTACCATATAATTTTATGGTGATAACAGTAGGTTACGATATAAGGTAATGGTGATAACAGTAGGTTACCATATCAGGTAATGGTGATAACAGTGGGTTACCACATAAGCTAATGGTGATAACAGTAGGTTACCATATCAGGTAATGGTGATAACAGTAGGTTACCACATAAGCTAATGGTGATAACAGTAGGTTACCATATAATTTTATGGTGATAAAAGTGGGTTCCGATATGAGGTAACGGTAATAACTGTAGGTTACCATATAATTTTATGGTGATAACAGTGGGTTACGATATGAGGTAATGGTGATAACTGTAGCTGAATAAACTTTTGAAACAATTATTTTTAAAATTAATCTTTCTGCAGCTGTAAGATTTTCTCCTCTATTTGTTGATTAGTTGATAAACTCATTTAAGTTTTATTGATGCAAGTTTAAGTCGTCTTTTATCATTTCTGCTGTTGCACTTTAACAACTGAAACCAAATGGTTTTGAAGGGGTGGGAAACCATTTAGACCAGTTTACCATTGGTCGTGTTCTTCCAGAGGAACCTGAACGTCTCATTCTCTCCTGTCTGCAGAGGTTGGATCTGAGCGTCAGTGAAAACTCCAGAACGCTTCCAGGGCTCAAACTCTCCAATCCTTACAACAAGCTGGGTGCTTTAGGGAAGGACAGCCGAGTCCCGCCTGTCTGTCTCCGTCCTGCTCCATCAGTCCAGCTGCCTGTGCACACCGAGTCCTGCTCCCCTCCCAGGGAAACCTCTGGCTCAGCCGTAGACTCTTTGGACCCGTCCGCCATCGGGAACATCACCATTCCTCGTCCCCAAGGAAGGAAGACGCCAGAGCTAGGAGCGGTTCTGGCGCCCCCTGCTGTCCAGTCGCGATCCAAAGCTGTGGGTTCCAGGGAAGGACGAGCTGCTCCAGGCAGGGAGGAGTTCAGGCAGGCCCTGAGTATGAGCTCAGAGGGACAGCAGGCCCTGGAGGACAGCGCGGACCTGATCAGGCTATTGGACCCTCTGAACAGCTCGGCGCCGCCCTCCTCTGCTCCAGTAGACGGGTTAGATATGGAGTCATCATTGGCAGGAAGGCCCGCCCTCCCCCCGAGGCCCTACCACCAAGGCCCGCCTCCTTTCCCTCTTCATCATCCTCACGTCTCTCTGAACCCGTTCGCCCAGTCCGTCCAGCACTACTCGCCCTCGGTCTGCGGGAATCCCTTCAGCGTGGCCTATGGACCTCCCCCCGCCTCCTTCATGCACACCTCCTTCTCTGCACTACCAGGGATCCACAGACAGCTGTCCCCCTGCAGCTCCAGCCAGGGACAGGCTCAGACAGCAGCCGCCTCTCTGCCTCAGACCTCTGACAGCAGCCACGCCCTCTCCAGCCCGCTGGACGCCGCCATGAAGCCGCTGCAGGCGCAGGGCCCCGCCAATAAAGCCAAGGACCCTTTTGGGGACCTGCTGAGCATGGCCACCCCTGTTCTACCACAGAAGAAGAAGGCAGAGGACCCCAGGAGGAAGTGGGAAACCTTTGACTGATTGCGCTGCTGCACCAGGCTCCGCTGGGCTGCTGCTAAGCAACAATCAACACTACGGCGTCCCAGTGAGGCTCCGCCTCTTTCTGGATCCTGACTCATCACATGACTCACCTTAAGAAGCAGATCCAGCAGATCCTGGATTTGATTGGCTGATTTATCAGGAGCTTATTAAGGTCTGAATAAAAAAGAAAACTGCTGAGCTTTTCTTTATCTGCAGAACATCCTCCTCTTCCTCCTCCTCCTCTTCATCCTGCTCCTCTTCATCCCCCTCCTCTTCATCCTGCTCCTCCTCCCCCTCATCTTCCTCCACCTCCCCCTCTTCCTCCTCCTTTTCGTCCTCCTCCTATTCTTCCTCCACCTCCCCCTCCTCCTCCTCCTTTTCATCCTCCTCCTATTCTTCCTCCTCCTCTTCTTCCTCCTCCGCCGCCTGCTGCTGTGGTGCGTAGAGATCATCTTATAGATGTGTTCTTACTTCTCCATCTGTTCTCTGCACATCCCGTCAGCCCTATTCTTCCCCCCCCCCCCCCCCCCCCCCCCCAGTGTGATCAGCTAGTATCACCTCCATCCAGACGCTAACGCTCTGCGCCTCCTCAGCCCTTCTTTTGGTGACGTTCTTGTTGTTTCAGCTGCTTTTCTCTGTAGTTAATCAGTGGAAATGTTTCCTCTCTTCCTACTAATATTAAAGCAGAATCACTTACAGCGAAAACAGACTAATATCCTGAAAATCATCTCTGATTGTTCATCTCAATAAATAGAAACACTGTTTTTGAAGAACTGCATTTTGTAGATTGTCTTCACTTCCTGCAGTTTTAAGATCATTGGTTTATAGTTTATTAAATTCTTCTCATCACTAATAGATGTTTGATGAAAATCACATTGCTGATTATCAGAAATATTTGACTGATTAGTTTCACCAAGAAAGGCCTTTTCTCTTCAGACCTCAGTCGCATCTATGGAGCTAAGATCTATAGATCTTCATCCCAGCTGTGTGTTGGAGACCTTCATCTGAAGCTTTTAGATCATCCATGTTTCCTGGTTCTCTGTTACTGAAGCAGGGACCTGGTGGAGGACAGCAGGAGGAGGAACATCTCTGACTCCAGCTGCTATCCAACAATTACGGTTCACCTTCATCTGCTGTGAAAGTTTTAATCATAAAAGATATTCAACATCTAGATCTTCTAAATGACATCTGTTTATAAGGTGCAAATATTTATCACAGTTTACCCTATAGGACCTTTGCATTTCCACAACCTATTTCAAGTTCAGGGATCATTTTTACAGACAGAAGCATGGTTGTGCAACGGGATCTCCAGTGTCACCAATTACAGCCAATCAGTACATGGAAGAAATGGAAAAGACACCTTTGGACTCCTTCAGAGGAACACCACCAAGGCATTGGTTTAGATATGTGGATGACACATTCTTCAAGATCCAGCTAAAAAAAAAGGTGGCAGAGTGTGTCCCTACTAAAATAGAAGGGAAGCACAAAGAACAGAAACACATAGATGCTCTCCCAACCTGTAGATACCCAAACGGGGCGTTTGTCAAATCAGCAAGAAAACACCAAAGGCAAGCAGCAGAATATAACGGCGAGAAGATTAAACCCTAAAACATCTCCATCCCATATGTTGCTGAAGTCTCAGAAAAACTCAAGATGATTTTCTCCAAACACAAAATCCCAGAACATTTCAAACCAAACAGACCCTTAAACAGAGACTAGTCAAAGGAAACCATCTATGTTAGGAAAAAAAAGGGGGGTGGACTCCTTCCCGCTATCATCGCAACCCCTCATTCAGCCAGGCCAACTGTCCCTTCTAATGTGACCCCCCTTTCAGAAATATAGACAGGTATGAGGCTTTGCAGGCTAACAAAGAAGCCAAACGGTGTGTACTACTCCCTTCAGAGGACGGCACAAACAGGCTCTAACCAGAGTAGAAAAAGAAGTGGGAGGCCGCGTTGCACAACTGAGCAAGAAGATAAGTACATTAGAGTCTGTAGTTTGAGAAACAGACGCCTCACAGGTCCCCAACTGGCATCTTCATTAAATTGTACCCGCAGTAGCCTGTTTGTGCTGCCCTCTGAAGGGAGTAGTACACACCGTTGTAGGAAATCTTCAATTTCTTAGCAATTTCTCGCATGGAATAGCCTTCATTTCTAAGAACAAGAATAGACTGTCAAGTTTCAGATGAAAGTTCTCTTTTTCTGGCCATTTTGAGTGTTTAATTGACCCCACAAATGTGATGCTCCAGAGACTCAATCTGCTCAAAGGAAGGTCAGTTTTGTAGCTTCTGTAACGAGCTAAACTGTTTTCAGATGTGTGAACATGATTGCACAAGGGTTTTCTAATCATCAATTAGCCTTCTGAGCCAATGAGCAAACACATTGTACCATTAGAACACTGGAGTGATAGTTGCTGGAAATGGGCCTCTATACACCTATGTAGATATTGCACCAAAAACCAGACATTTGCAGCTAGAATAGTCATTTACCACATTAGCAAGGTATAGAGTGTATTTCTTTAAAGTTAAGACTAGTTTAAAGTTATTTTCATTGAAAAGTACAGCGCTTTTCCTTCAAAAATAAGGACATTTTAATGTGACCACAAACTTTTGAACGGTAGTGTATTTATATATACATATATAAGTTGAGTCTTTACACCATCATAGTATATTACAAATAAAGGATCCAACTTGGAGGTAAAATGAACAGGACCTTTACTTAGTTCCACTTTAGTTTTAAAATGTAACATATCAGCTGGCGGATAACCTATAGGTAAGCTCAGTAACTAGGGCAGTGGCTCCGCTGAAGCAAATAAACCCACTTTATATATTACACTCCTCCCCTTTTAGATTAATGCTACACAGCCAAAACAACATACCATTGCCAATGCAATAAACACAATTTGTGCTAAGTCCCATAAGTGAATTCATAAATCCAATATTTTCGGTGGTGCCCCGAGTCATTCAGGGTTAAGCCTGGGAACTTGCTCACTGCAGCAGGCACTTCCTCTGTAACTGTAGGTGTTGCAGTACTGTGCTCAGAATTAGTTCCAGGATCAGGTGGATGTGTTGGTTGCTCCAGTGTCTTTGGTTGAGATTTCAACAGCTGATCCACATGGCGTAGATATGGGCCATACTTTTTATCTTCATCCTACCTACATGACCCTGAAGCTTGAAGGGCACTACCATGCCTGATCCACACATCAAGGTTCCCTGGCAGTCTGACAGCTGATCACGTCTTGCTGAAAACTCTGGAAAACATGGATTCCCATGGGCAGGCCAGCCTTATACTGTAATGTCATTCTTTTCATATCATGGCATTTGTAACTGGCAGCTGGTCTACCAGTTTTGTGTGGAACATCCCTGTCGGGTCACCTTTGGTCAATCAGTGGAACTCCTTTCCTTGGAATGAATATTGACCTTCAGCCATAGCCCATACTAGGCTAAGGGCCTCCCTGTCTATCTGTGCATAATTGCGTTTGGCACTTGAGAGGGACCTTGAAGCAAATGCAATTGGGCGTTCAAGTCTATTGTCCATTGTGTGCGACAAGACTGCGCCAGTGCCGTATAGGGATGCATCAAATGCTAGATGGATGGGTCTGGATGGATCATAGTGGGTAAAAACCTCGTCAGATGTTATAAGTCTTTTTGTTGTCACCATGAACAAAGTTCTGCCGACCTTCAAACAATATGTGAGCTGCCCTACCAGAGATCAGAGAACCCTGGACCTGATGTATGCTAACATTAAAGATGCATATATCTCCTCTTCTCTCCCCCCTCTGGGCAGGTCAGATCACAACCTGGTTCATCTCAAACCCTGTTATCTGCCTCTGGTGAAGAGGAAGCCAACGGCCACAAGAACTGTGAGCAGGTGGTCAGAGGAGGCTTGTGAGGCACTGCAGGCCTGCTTTGAGGTGACTGACTGGCCTGCACTCAGTGAGCCCCACGGGGAGGACATTGATGGGCTCAAAGAGTGCATTACGGATTATATCCACTTCTGTGTGGACTGCAATGTTCCAGCTCTGACTGTCACCTGTTACCCCAACAACAAACCTTGGATCACCAAGAAAATAACGGCCATCCTGAACGAGAAGAAGAGGATGGCAACCGTGAGGAGGTGAGGAGAGTGCAGGGGGTACTCAAATGAAAAATCAAGGAGGCTAAGGACAAATACAGGAGAAACCTGGAGAATAAACTCATGAAAAACATGAGGGATGTGTGGAGTGGGATGAGAACCATCACAGGGTTCCAGAAGTCCACTGGTGTGGGGTTGGAAGATTGCGTGGACCGAGCCAATGAACTGAACTTATTTTTCAATAGGTTTGTTACTGCGGCCCATCCCCCACAACCCTCCACTGCTGGCTTCCCTCCAATGACCACTCCACCTTCTTCCACTCCTCCTCCATACAGACCCCCTGTCTGCTTTTCACCACCGCAATCCACATCCACCGTCTCCACCCCTCCCCCCTGCTTCACATCCTGTCCTCCACAACACGAGGACCTCACCCCTCCCCCTACAGTTACCTCTACAGTGTCCTTCACTTCTAACCGGCCGAGAAGACAACTAACCAGACTCCACTCTGGCAAAGCTGCGGGCCCCGATGGTGTACTCCCCTGGGTGCTCAAAGCTTGTTCCAACCAGCTGTGTGGAATATTTAGCCTAGTCTTCAGCCTGAGCATGCTCCTCCAGAGAGTACCCATGCTGTGGAAGACGTCCTGCCTCGTTCCGGTGCCAAAGACGTCGCGCCCTAGCGACCCTCAGGACTACAGACCGGTAGCACTGACGTCCCATTTCATGAAGACCTTTGAGAGGCTTGTCCTGGAGCAGCTAAGGCCCATGGTCAGGCCCTTCACTGATCCACTACAGTTCGCCTACCAGCCCCGCCTGGGAGTTGAGGACAGCATCATCTTCCTGCTGAACAGAGTCTACAATCACCTGGACAAGCCGGCGAGCATGGTTAGGATCATGTTCTTTGACTTCTCCAGCGCCTTCAACACCATCCGCCCGGCTCTACTAGGTGAGAAGATGAATGCGATGCAGGTGGAGGCACCCATCATGTCCTGGATTGTTGATTACCTGACGGGCAGACCACAGTATGTACGGCTACAGAACTGTGTGTCTGACAGGGTGGTCAGCAACACTGGGGCCCCTCAGGGGACTGTCCTCTCCCCCTTCCTCTTCACCCTTTTCACCTCAGACTTCAGCTATTGCTCTGAGTCCTGCCACCTTCAGAAGTTTTCTGATGACTCAGCAATTGTTGGCTGCATTGAAAAGGGTGAGGAGAGTGAATACAGGACCG